ATAGTCTCTGATCACCCACTTGGTTCGAGAGACTTGCGCGGCTCAATCACAATTTCATCAATCACTACATCACATTAGAAGTCCTTTGAGGACTTGGCAGTACCGGCCTAACATGCATGCTGTTATATACTCAATTACAAGTAATCTTCACAATCATACACATTGACAATATCATAAAAATTCATATAATGGCATACTAGACATTCCATAGAAAGTCTATTAAACAAAGTTTGTAAGTGCTGCAGAAAAGTCAAACTCCACTTACCTGCGTTGCTTAGCAAAATCTGAGTTTAACCCTCTTCATTTCCCTTGTTTGTTTTCCTTTCCACTGTTCAAAATAGACAAATTGGCCACCGTCATTAGAGCTCAATAGCTCAGCCATAAATCAGTTTCTAACTCATAATCACTTTTCCCTGAAATTTGAATTTCACTGATTCGTCCATCTTTAGAAGAAAATTCATAAGATATTCTTTTTGTCTTTAAAAATTCTAAAATTAACTTCAAAACAAGTTAGACATGTATATCTTTCCAACGAACTATCATATGTCTCATTCCGACATCTCTAAGTATCTTAAAAACAGTTTCCACGAAATCATAATTATGTTTTTTCCTGTTTTTGACAGTTTTTAGAAAGTTTCTATATGAAACTTCTTATGCGCACAACTTGAGCTACAAAACTCCAAATGAGGTGATTTCAACTCTCACACGTCACTAATAACCTGTTGTAAATGGTGGTAAAGGTGGTTTAAGTGCAGCACTCTCATTTCAAAAAGTAGGTACCTCAGTTCTTATTTTATTGATTTCTAGAATTGGCACTTTTACGATTGCTACAAGAATATCCACAAAGTATTCTATGTAGCCTTACAAATGACAAAATCAAAACCCAAGTGAGGTAGACGATCAAATTTTTCTGGTTTTTTTGCAGAAAACCAGCCACTAAGCCCAACTTCAAAAATGTATATTTTAGGCTACGGTTATCCGTTTAAGGTGATTCCAGCGGCTATACGAAGCTTGCGATGTCTAGTTACCAATTATGTAAACCTTCTTTTGAAATTCCTCACCTAATACTCCCAGAATCCGAAAGAACAGATTCTGTCCAATAAGTACATTTGACAGATTTGTTTTATATTCAAAAGTTTACAACTTAACCTACAAAGCTCCTTTTGGGGTGATTCAAGTTTCTATTTAAAGTATGAAATGTCTATTTCAAGGTTCTTTAATTAAGAAGGTTGGAATGATTTCTGGAAAATTCGGTTTCTCTGTTTTCCCAAGGCTGCCGTTGTTTTCAATGCTAACATACAACAAAACAACACCTTAGAGAACCTTCTCCTAAATAACAATTAAATGACCAAGGTGAAGTAGGATAGCCACCCTTGTTAACTCATACACGTGATATACCAAATCAGGGGTTATAAACAAAAATCCTCAAGTAATTCAACACACTTCTCCATAAACCAAGTTCAAAGCCCTTTATCCTCAAGGAAACTTAATTCTTGAAGTTCAATTCTCAAAATTCAGGAATTATACCAAATCAAAGAAAATTCATAACTTTAAGAGATGCTCCACAATTCCCTTTGATCAATAAACAAAACTAAACAATAAACCACCAAATTTTAAATCCAAAAATTGAAGGAGAAGAAGAAAACCCCTACCTTGAATCCTTGCTCAAACAACCTCTTTTCCTCCCGGAATTGCTGCAACCCTCTTTCCAAAACCAAACTGCTCTTTGATCTTGCAAAACCACCTTCACACTTCAAGCAAATCAAAGCTCTTCTTCTTTTCTTTTTTTTTTTCTGGAAGGGAGATAGAGTGAGAGAGAGAGAGAGAGTCGGATGGGAAGATGAGAAAGAAAGAGTGAGAAACGTGAAATGAGGTTGAGGTTTGAGAGAGATTGAGAAATTGAATTATTTTTTTTTCTTCTTATGTTACTCCATCCCCCTCAACGTGGCCAGAGGAGGGAGATGAGTGGCATGGCTGAGGTTCCAGCCATGCCACGTGAAAGGGCAGCTGGTCCTATTTTTTTTTCTTAATATTGCAATATGGCCCCTAA